AAAATAGAATGAAGTGGATCGTTTTCTCTAATGTAACTGCAGTCAGACAGACTGGACAACTAGGATGTCCTTTGTCTCCTACGCCCAGGTAATGACTTTCTTCCCTAAAAGAAACCCCATGCAGGAGGGGATTTTTAAAGATGCTTTACAAGGCTTCTCTGCAAGGTTTTTCACACCAAATCTCCTCCCGGATACTGTGTTTTTGGAAAGGAGCCATGTTGGCCTCGCACTTGCAGAAAGTCCACTTCAAATTTGGCAGAAATAGGAAGGCCCAAAGGGAAATCAGGATAATTCACAAGGAGCTCCCAATTCCTGGCAGCATGCCCTCATTGAATCCACTCTGCAAAGAGCCTTCCTTCTGGGTATATCAGATCCTGGGAACCTGCAAAAATAATTATTAAGCTTAGATCAATTAAATGCATTTAAATGCAAGATTCATTTGGGTTTGAAAAGAGGCAGCAGATGGCAAAGGTGCTCAGTTTCCTACACTAAGGACTGCTGTAGAAGTGCCTATATTTCTGATGTCCCATAACAGCTGGTTTGCAAGAGCCAGGTAATGGCCCACATTTTTGTCTTCCTGCTTGTTCTCATAAAGTGACAAACTGTCATGACCTGTAATTAATTCCAGGGGTTCAGATTATTGTCTCTGATGAAACGAATGTCCGTGCAATAATTAAGATATAAAAGGATCTAATACACTTTTAAGAGCAAGTGCAACTAAGCCCCTGGCAACGCTATAAAAACAGATTAAAATTCTTCAGCATCGTGTGCTGAGATTGCATGGCTTTTTTTACAGTGTACATTTTTACATTTCTTCCGGCAAAACTCATCCATGGACTAGGTCTTTTAATGAACTGTTTAGAATAGAAATGTCCAAAACTGTTTTTGCTGTTGAGTCCACATCTTGTTTTACTACCACCATCACCCTTATTCCCAGTGGCAAATGCCATTTCTGCAGCTGAGGACTGCAGACTCTCTTCTGGAAACCACCAGGATGATGCAGCACCAGAAGGGCTATCAAATTTCAAGGCGTTTTGCAACCATCTCCTCAGAAGACAGCCCCTCTCAGGATATGTATTTACAGTCATAGGTGTGGTTTAATACAGCAGTTCTCCAACTGTTTTCTTGTCTCTTTTGACTCCAGTTCTCCAAAGTGGTCCCGGCCTTCCTCCCCCTGGATAATGCTGGAATGTCTATTCTTCCAGAGCTGAGTCTCACCTGAGCTCCTCTGCACCTTCAACAGGCCCCTCTTCATCTCCAGCCCAGCCTGCCAGGCCCCATCGGTCGTGGACCCAGGAAGCCTCAAGGAGATGGCACCATGAAAAAAGGAATTTCCACCCAAATTTCCTCCCTGCCCATCCCCACAGGCCCCACTCCTTGTCCCAAAGGCATTTTCATTCTCAGGGGCACAGCGGCCAATAGACCCAGTTCTTTCAGGACTTTTATATATTACCCAGTTCACACTGAATTAAGACACTTGAAATTACATTGGCACAAAAAGAGAAAAGAGTCCAACTCCAGATAAGAAACCACATTCCAAGAATACCATTTATTTTGCCATGGCTTAGTCACTGTATGATAGTAGGAATGGAAGGGCTGCCCTCCTACAACGTGTGCTCTTCAAGGAAAATCAAGCAAGCAGCCAGTGGATTTCAGACCTTCTGGAATTTAATTAGTTAAACTCAGTGATGTTGGACAACAGTACAAATAAGCAGAGCTAAGAGCAAGGGTGGCCTAAGCAGAGCTAAAGATGTAAAGGTCCTTTTATCTAGGACAAGGTGAAAAGGCCACAGCAGAGAGGACAAAACTTCATACACTGATGTTCAGGGCTGCCGTTTTCCTAATGGGAATTTTCTGCAGAGCGGTGATGTTTCAGGAGGGAAAGCGCATGACCTTGGCGCAGAAAGGTATTGCTGTACTCACCTGCTATTTAAACTGCAGCTCCTGGCATTCACACATGCTAGGCAGTCTCAGAGGAAGCCTGAAGTGGAGGGCTCAGTGTTAGTAGAAACTTCCTTTAAGGCTGTTTCCTCATCCCCATACTAAGTCCACTTTCAAGATCAAAAAGCCTTCAAGAGTAAAGCAATAATCAGGAGATGCTGGGGAAAAAAAAATATGCCAGGGCAGTTTATAATGTCCTGCCTGGTTTCTGTACGAAGATGGGCGCTAACCCAGCTCTCTTTTGCAGGATCTGGGTGCAGTCCATCTTGACTAATAATATGGCCTGGAAAGCTGGCAGAATTTACAGTTCGCTTTCCTGCATTTAGAGCCAGAGGTTCTTATTGTTTTCAAGATTTCCTTTAATTTCTTATCACGCTCTTAAAAAAAAAGAATATCCACGCACCAGCATACGGCCCATGCAGACAGTAAAACCTTCCTGAAGCCTTGAAACAACCGTGCCTTTTTCTGCGTCAAAGGTGCCTCACGGCCTGCAGCGACTTCAGAACAGAAACACGTGGACGTGCCCTGTGTCACAGCGGTTGTTGTGGCCCCAGTCCTGCCTGTACCCAGCAGGGTCTGTCTAACAGGAGCTGTTGTCCTGCTGGGTTTTTCATAACCCTGCAGCCACAGGCACCACACACCAGCCTTAAGTCTCCAAGTTTGGGTTTCCATGTTTTGCCTCCCTGGCACAGAGCTCGGCACCAGGCCATGGCCTGAAGAGCAGCTGAAGAGCAGCAGAAGGTGTCGCTGACCCTGCAGGGCAGCCTGCTCAGAGAGCCACCATTTCTGCTCCTGTCCCGAGCACTTCAAACACCTTTGAGCAACAGCAGCTGCACAAACGGCAAAACTGGATCATAACTTAAGCCTGGTACCATGGATGTGAAATGTCTGTGCGGGTGCCTTTGAGATGCCCTTTAAGATAGCTTTTCAGGCAATTTTTCTCTCACTTCCATGCGCTGGGGGCTCTCCAGAGGAACCCTTCTCTGGCATTTTTTATATTTTTTTCACTGACTTGCTGCAACACCCCAGGTTGCGCTGAGATGGTGCTCTGAGCGCCTCGCTGGTGCTGCCGGATGGGAACTGTGCTGCATGTGCCCACGCTTGGGCTCGAACTTGCTCTTTGACCAGCGTGAAATTTCTGTGTCTGCCTGGCCACTGCTATATTGAGGCTTTCCTCTGCGGGGACACTGTGATTTTCTCCTATTCTGTTGGCTAAATTAATCGTGACAGTCTCCATTTATACAGAATTTGGGGGCTTTCTCGTCGCCACTGTTTTTGAGGGTAGACAAGCAAGATGCTTTGAAATAAACATGGCCACAAAATAAAATTTGAGAATGCATAATTCTAAAGAAAATAACTACACCTCTCTCCTCCTCTTCATATTACACTGTTACATATATATTTATTTAAATTTGCTTCTCTGGTAGTGTTTGCAGTAAGGCCATCAATTCACGAGGTTTCTAATAACGCCCTGTGTTTTCTTCCCCTCGCTTTGGCAGACCCGGTAACAATGCACGCGTCCATGTTTTATATTCCTCTCACGAATAAAATATTCATCACGCACTTACAGAAGTGCACCCAAACCATCTGCCTGGTCTTTATGGAAGGTGTAGGATGATTTCAAAACATGCTCTGCTTCCCTTTCCATTTACACAGATGAATGAGTCTACTTGGAAGTCTTTTCTTTTAATCTTTGTTTATCTTTGTCCTTTTTGTAACCGTATAAAGGCCGGGAAGTCTTTGTTTTCATTCTTGCCACAATGTCCTAGTGACAAATTAATAACTGCTAGATGTTTATATATATCTTTTTCTCTCATAAACTAATCTCTTTATGCGGATTGGGGAAACCAGGCAGGCAGCACGGCCTGGATTTTCAGACAGCATTGCTGCTTCTCAGCGTGCGGTTTAGACCAGGCTTTGCAGAACTAACCAGCATTTGGTTGACTGTGATGGCAACTGTGGAGCCAGTGCTGAGCGCCAAGCGGGGCTTTTAAAAGTAGCTTTTGCTTTTCAAAACTTTGGACTTCAGCCAGAGCTTTCATCTCCTTATCTACAAAAATGGAATACGGCTTAAATACCTCTCCAGCAGCCTGCAAAGGTTCATTAGTGCTCCTAAAACCCTTGGAATGGAAAAGCACTGAGTATTTCTGATTGCTTATTCATTCCTCTTGTCTTGCACCTTCACATTCCCTTCCCATGCCCCAGCGGTGGGGTTTGTGCGCAGCAGAGCCACTGGAGCTCGTGGGGAGCACTCCACATCTCCTTCATGTCTTAGCTGCTCTCCTGCCTGCAGTGCCCGCTCTCCGCTCTCCTTCCAAACTGCACAGAGCGAGCTCGCTTTTCCCTGTAGAAACAGAGATGAGAACCTACAGCCCTCTTTACCCTGTTGCAGTTACAGCAGGACACGCATGGGAGTTGATTTGTCCATGGTACACATGAGGTCTGCAAAGGTGGCGGCTTGTCACAGAAACATCTATAATCTCCAGTGACAAGAATTGGGAAATGAGCAGAAAAATTGATACGCAGATCCCAAACATTCTCAAAAGCACTTCGCACTATCGAATTATGCTGTGGCAACTTCCAGCTCCTCTGCCTTGTGGGAATGTGACCTAAAGTTTATTCTGCCTTGGCGTTGCCTCTGCAAGTAGAATTCCTCCGGCCGGAGGAAGGATGTCGTAAACTGCAGAGCGCCCCGAGACGCGCTGGCCGCAAAGCCGAGAGCGCGCGCAGAAGTGCGGGTGCCAGCACAGCCTCACGGGCGCCTTGCTCACCCAGACGGCAAAGCAGCGAGCCTGCTGGGGAGCTGAAATGAGGCTGGCCGTGTTCGTGCTTGCCCGCCTTCGGCTGGGAAGGCAGCCCTGGGTGCCGAGACCCGATACCTTCATTTACTGTCAGTTCTGCCTCCGTCTTGCTGCAGAATGACCTGCTCACCTGTGTAGGGGAGGACACCAAGGCAAACTCAACTTGCCTGGAAAGAAATACCCGCTTCACATTTCCACATTCCAGTGGAAGCCACAGAGTGGTTGGGACCTTTAGAGATCCCCTCGTCCTACCCTTTGCTCAGGCAGGCTCACCTGGAGCAGGCTGCCCACTTCACACAGGTTGTTTTGGGAGGGTGGCTGAGCTGCCTCAGGAACTGCAGCACTACGCACTGCAGAAAGCCCCGCTTGTCTTTCCTCAGCTCCTGCTCACAAACGTCCTAAGCCCACTATCAAACTACCAAAAATAAAATGCTTCTGATTCAGCATTTTCCCTCGCGGCCTCTCAGCTGCTGCCGAGGCAGGAATCCCGCCCCAGCGAGGGACACGCTCCTGTTTTGGACTGGGATGCACACAGAGGGCTCTGGCCACGGAGGGCATTTCAGCAGCAGGGTTTGGGGGTTTTTTAACCCGTACTTGACTGTGATGATTCTCAGCAACTGTAGGTGGTGGCTGATCACAGGGAACAATCCATGAGCGCAAGCAGGGGGTGCAGGCATGAAACAAGGATCCTGCCAAGAGGGAGTGTTTCTGCATTTGGGCAAGGCACTCAGGTGTGTTCCAATAACACAGGCAGAATGACTGTGCCCAGTATTACATTATTTGGCCCAGTTAAACCAAGTTCTGTTCTAGCATGAGTCCTTTTTTCTTACTGAGCCGCTGATTTTTACAAAACTTGGATGCTTTTAACACTTTTGAAAGGATTTTGCCTTTCTGTCTGATCAGGATGAAAAAAAAAATTTAATGGTCCAGTAGTTGAGGGGGGAGGGAGAGAGGGAAGGGGGCTGACTCAATAGACAGTCAAATAGACAATGTGATTGCATCAGTCTCGTTTCCTTAGGAAACTGGGCTAAAAATAAAAGGCTTTATTTGCTCCTGGGAATAAACCAGAATGTCTCTCACATCTTTACAAAACATTTGTTTCTATGTATACTTATAAATAGTAAGGATGGGAGAGGAAGCTCGCACGCATTTTCAGCGAGCAGAGAATTCAAAGGAATTGAACCACTCTGTCGCTAGACAGCTACAGGTTTGAAGCCTGCACCCCAGACCACTGAGGGTCATCAGGAGGTGCGTGGATTTCAAACCCCGTGAGCCCTCCAGGCAAGCGATAGCCGGGACAAGCAGGGAGCCTTGGGCACTGCCACCACGTCACCCTCGGCCGCTCGGCCGGCTCCAAGCCACCAAGCGGCACCAAGTGACCTGCTGCTTCAGTGGAAATACTCTCCAAAAGGCCTCACTCATCACTAATGGGTTGTTCAAGCTGAAGAAGCATTTTAATGCCTTCTAAATTCTCTTTCTTGTGCGCGCTCCAGATATTGCAATCTTTGAAAATATGCCTTCTTACAACTTAGCCTCAGTGATACTTTGTGGTTCTTTTTATGCATGTCATGTATATAATGATTTTTTTTTACAAGACTTGAATTTACTTTCTTTTGGTTTGATTGAACTGACACAATTTGGACTTGATGTTTTTACAGCTAGACTTAATAGACAGGGAACAAAGTAGTTCCTCATCCTCTAAAATCTTGTAATTGTTGCAAGACACAAGTGCAGATGTAACATCGAAGAGAAGAGAGCAGTTCATGCAGTAGGAGCTGAGGGGAATTTCCCTCATATTAGGCTGGCAAAACAGAAGGCATTTGCACTCGCCGTTTCCTGTGCTTTTTGTCTTTATTTCTTTGTTCCTCAATGGTGTATGCACACAAGCATCTTCTTCCTGTGGTATATAATTTCCATTACAGGAGCACTTAGCAGTCCCGACAAACACTGTGCTATGACTGCGGAAACATGTCACGAAGTCAGCCCTTGTCCTGAAGAACCTGTGTTTAAAACATGCAAGATGAGTGCAGCCTGGGGAAAAGATACAACTCACCCTCGCAAGGCAAGAAATTGAGCGTAATATTTTGCCTGCAGGTACAACTGGGGCTTTTACTGGGATTTAGCCTCACCTCTTGGCTTCAAACCTGTTCTTGCTTGCCCAGGGG